GGTGCCCGGCAAACAGAGGGTGACTCAGTGTTTTGGGGAGGGAAGGAGAAGTTTCTTGTCAATGATTACATTGGTCACTCTTTCCTGTTTCCCCCACGCCCTGCCACATTCCTGATACTATATTCCACGGAGTTTATGAAAAGACTGGGAGATACCACAGCAAAGAGATTAGGGCAGCATTCAGTTACCACGATAACAGATTCTACTTGGAATATTGTAATATGATATGTACCAGGCGCTGTACCCTATGCTTTGTAATATCGAGGCGGACAAAACATGGCCACAAAGTCATCGACGTTCCTCCCATCGAGAGGTGAGTTTCGGACCCCTCCCCTTGCATCCGGGTGGGCAGCTGTGAGCCAGAGGCCAGGAAGGAAGAGATGCTGTGGCTCTTTCCAAGCCCAGGCCTTCGTAGACTGGAAGCTTCTACATGCTGTCTCTTGGAACACTCACTGAAGGAGAAGCCAGCTGCCACAGGAGAAGTCCAACAAGCCTGAGCCCACCATGCTGTGAGGAAGCCCAAGTAGCCACAAGGGACCAGAGAGACCGGGCTGGCCCTACCCAGCTATTGTAGCCGTCCCAGCCCAGGTGAGTGAAGAGGCCATCAGATGACACAAGCTCCATTGCTATCGGTCAGTAGCCGTGTGAAGGGTGCTACAGGAGAACCGCCCAGCAGAGCCCATCCACCCCTGGGAATTATACAAGACAATAATCAATTGCTTTAAATCACTTAACGTTGGGGGTGGTTTTCATGTCTCAATGGAAAACAAGCACATACATCCTCTTATTGAGTTTTCATTAAATCCCCATGGGATGGGGGACTACCATTATGTTCATTTTGCAGATGAGCAAGAGAGACGATATGATCTGCTGAAGTTTGTTCAGCCGTATTTCAGTAGAGCTGGGATTTGAACTCCAGGCTACGTGAGCCCAACGCCTGAAAGCACTTAGCAGGCATTGGGTAGCCATTCCGACCCTTCCTTCAACAGCTGTAAGGGTGATGTCGGTTTATGCTCACAGAGCGTTTTCAACCTAATAAGACAAACATGGTGACAATGAGAACAGATGAGGCGGGATTTGGTGGATTTATTTGACTGATTTAACAAAAATAAACCCTGTCTCTACTGTGAGACAGAGTCTGCAGAGAGAGACTTGCGTGGCAATTTGCAGGGTAGGAGGGAGGCAGTGAGAGAGCTCATATCGCAGGCTAGTTGTCTCCTAAGCTCGCTGGGGCTTTGCTTGTAAGCCAAAACGCTCCCAACGGGCAGTGGGAATTTGAGACTTAAGGTACTCACGTGCAGTCTGGATCTCTCTTTAGACTAGGTATTTTGGGGACGTTTCAGTGATTAGCATTGCCCGGTGGCTCTAAATTTGGAGTCTCTGAATTCTCCTAGGAAAGAACATATCAGAGGCCCAGGAAATGATGGCTTCAATTTTAGTAACAGCTAACGGAGTGGGTATCAATGGAGACGCACATAATAATCACCTGGGGAGCTCGGAAAAATTGCATTGCCCAGGCCACACCCAAGAAATCACACTGGAATGGCTGAGAGAGGGACATAATGTTTATGGGCTTCTTGCTAAGTATCAGACACCAGGCAGAATCCACTCGCTCCTCCAAATACCCTGTAGGGAAGGTAGTATTATTGTTCTCATTTTACAGTTAGGGAAACTGAGGCACTGTGAGGTTAACTGACATAGCTGAACCATGGAGGGAGATTTAGGCCATTAGACCCCAAGCTCTAACATCCTATGGAGGCCTGATATGAATCAGTTTGGCTACTCAGAGATTACCCATGACTACCTACTGTTGTTTAATGTAATTTTTCATTAAATATCGTGTTTCCCTGAAAATAAGACCTACCCATAAAATCAGCCCTAGCAGGATGTCTAAGCATTTTCACAATAGAAGCCCCACCCTGAAAAGAAGCCCTAGTGGTGGGCATGGCTATGAAAATAAGCCCTAGTGCTGGGCGTGGCTATGAAAAATCAGCCCTAGTGACAGGCGTGGCTATGAAAATAAGCCCTAGTGCTGGGCGTGGCTATGAAAATAAGCCCTAGTGATGGGCGTGGCTATGAAAATAAGCCCTAGTGCTGGGCGTGGCTACGCAGCACATCTGCACAACCCATGCATGTCGTTGTGGAGCGGGAAAGAACACGAGCAGCCCTTCTCATCTGCCCCGTGACAGCTCTAGTGCTCGACAGGAGAGATCGGGGCCAGTGGTTCTAAAGAAAACAGAGTCGCAAGACATTCAGGATGGGATTCGGGGTTTGGAGAGTGATGATGATGTTCCAGAAGAAGACGACTTCACTCTATTTGAATCAACGTAGATGGTTGTACCATCTACGTTGAAAAAAATAACACATCCCCTGAAAATAAGCCCTACTAGGGTGTCTTCTTGAGGAAAAATAAATAGAAGGCCCTGTCTTATTTTCGGGGAAACACGGTACTTCATTTCAAGGTCCCCTAGATGATTCCAGCGTGCAGCTGAGGTCAAGAGCCAGGGAGCCCTGGACCTGCGGCCACATGGTCACCAGCACGGCTCTACCCGGGACTCGTTTGGGGTCATGCTGATACCAGCTGACACAGAGACAGAGGAGGAGAAACCAGCCCGTCTATGATGCTCTATGTTGCCTAACGATTTGTGAAAAATTAAATTTTTTCGGGTAATACTGTTAGGTCCAGAAGGACAGCATTTTTGAACTTCTGATTCCTAATCCCAAAGTAGTGCATAGTAGAGGTCTAATAAATACCTGTTGGATGAATGAATGAATGAATGAATGAATGATCACTTGGATGCAGGAGAGAGAGGACCACAGAGGGAACAGGAGGGTGTGTGATATGTTGGGGCGTGATGTGGGCATCACGACTTTTCAAAGCTCCTCGTGTGACTATTTTCATGTGTATCCCAACTAAAACCCACTCATTATTGTGACTAGAGCCAGAGTTACCTTTTCCTGGGCCTCCTGTGGCTTCTTCCCTAAGTAAATTCTGAGTCTCTAAATCCACGGCCACCAAGCATTGCTAATCACTAAAGATATCCCCGGAATATTTGGTCTAAAGAAAGATCCGAACTGCTGATGTTCACTATAAATACCCAGTTCCCATTGACTGGTGGGAACCCTCTGGTTTGTTGGAAAAGACACACGGAACTTTTGTTAGAGGACAAACTCGGGATGGCATATGATCCGAATCCAGAATTTTCCACATTAGCGTCTGTCTCGGTTATTGTGCATTAAAATAGGACGGAAAAGTCACTTAACGGTCCTCCTGGGAACAGGAGCAGGTTTTGACATTTTGGAGGGTCACATCTCTGTCCCCGAGGGGAGGCAGAGAGGAAAAGGGGGCCGGGTTCATTCTCTAAGCTCATGTCCTGGGTCGCATGGGAAAGGTACCAAGGGCACACTGATGGACACAGAAGGGCCAGGTTGATGGGGAAAAAAAAAAGTCAAAGCAGCAAAATCCTCTTTTCAAAGCAAATCAAGCTGCAATCCCAGTGTCTAAAGATGATCAAAGCAGGGCAGCTCCGTTTGAAGTGGCGTTTGCAGCCCCAAGGCCGGCTCGGTCCGGGCTGCCTCCCGGAATCTGTATCCCCGGGTGGCCCTGCAGGACTAAAGCCCAGGGCTCTGCCGAATCTAATTCGGAAAACACCCTCCCAGACTGGGCTTTCTGCGTTGCAATTATACATCTCGCCTGATTAGAAAAACCGACCCTAAGAAAAACTAATGACTGGCATCTAAGGGGTAGACATCTAGTGGTTTCCATGGTACCAGCATTGATCGTGGTGTTAAAACTAACCAGGTTAGGCCCTTTCCAAAGACATTTCGGGGCACAAGAGCATCACCAGGGGCGTTGGAGAGATGCACGTTCTAATTCAGTGAGTGAATCTGAGATGGGGCCCAGCGCTGCATTTCTGCTAAGCCGGCAAGTGCCGCCAATGCTTTCGATCCCAGGGTTTCAAATCACAACTCGTGCGTCGGACTCCCCTGTGAGACATTGCTGCATGTGCAGATTTGGGGTGGGCCCCCATCCCAGAACTGGATCCAGCCCTCTGGCTATGGGTCTGGAAGTTTTTGTTTTTAACAAGCTCCCGGGTTTTTCCAATGTTCACTGCATTTGAGAACTATGCTCTAGCATGGATTCGCCCACATGGCTTATTTTTATTTATTTTTTTCTTTTGAGATAGAGCATCACTATGTTGCCCAGGCTAGAGTGAGTGCCGTGGCATCAGCCTCACTCATAGCAACCTCCAACTCCTGGGCTCAAGCGATCCTCCTGCCTCGGCCTCCTCCCGAGTAGCTGGGACTACAGGCGTGCGCCACCACGCCCTGCTAATATTTTCCCTATATATATTTTTAGTTGGCCAATTAATTTCTTTCTATTTTTAGTAGAGACAGGGGTCTGGCTCTTGCTCAGGCTGGTCTCTGAACTCCTGACCTCGAGCGATCCTCCCGCCTCGGCCTCCCAGAGTGCCAGGATGACAGGCGTGAGCCACCGCGCCCGGCCTACGTGGCTTAGTCTTTAAGAACTCAGGACTCAGCAAAATGCCCGAGCTGGAGGAGGGTCTGGAGATGGTCTAACTGAGCATTGGTACTACTGCTTAGAAAGCTAAGGTCCCGAAGAGCAAGCAGTTCTGCACGTGCCTGTCGCCAACTGGCTTCAGAGCAAGCAGACACCGGAATGGGACAGTATCCGACGTCCCAATCCTCGTTTTTGCCTGGGGCCCCGGGACCTTCCCTTGTCATTGCTTCTCTGTCTGTACAGCTTCATGAGGCCAGAAACCTGGTCTCCCTGGTCTTCTGCTGTTGTCCCAAAGCCTAGTACAGAGCCTGGCACACGGAAGGCGCTGTATGGGTAGTATCCTTGTGTATTCCTGCTCTGCTTGTGCCTAATCACCTCCCCCAAATTTCTTATCGAACATCCTCAAGTTATAAAAATATAAACGAATTGCTTCCAAATACAATTCCCAAGTTCTCCCGAGAGTCTGAATACAGCGGGCATTAAGAGCATGGTCGTTGGGAAGTTGAGGGGATGGCGCTAGAATGCCACTCTGGCTACCACGTCTACTGGGTGTATGGATCGTGCTCATCTGCTCTGAGCCTCGGTTTCCCTAGTTGTAAATTTTGGAGGCCTCAGTAGATCCGACGACGTCATGGGCTTCTGTGAATATTTCATCGGTTAACGTGAAAGGTCTAACACAGTGCCTGGTAGACAGGAAGCGCTAAATGCAGGGAGAGTCCTGTTGATTGCAAAAGCAAGACGATGATGATTCCGGAATATTCGGTCTTTCCAGAGGCTACAGCTTCAAGCGTCCCCTTGCCACCTGCCAATCTGTACGGAGCGGAGGCGGACCTTCTCTGAAGCAATCACGTACGATGCGTAGACCACGGGACTGGCGTGAACCAACGTGGCTTCGCTCGGCTTCCCCTTCCTAAGTTGCAGGTAGCCAGCCCCAAGTTCAGTGGCTCCTGAGAGAACTCAGGAGCCGAGTTACTGAGACGGGTCACTCCCAAACGGTCCAGATGGCAGGAGGGGCGTGTGGGCTGAATCACCCCCAAGGATTCTCTCCATAGGGTCCAGATATCGACTAGCCAGCTTGCAGTCAGCGAGTGTAGACAAGATATTTTTAGTCTGCTTGCCAGATGGAGGCATGCGAGTTTGAATTGCGTGCCTAGGACAACGAGACTGTTGCATCCGTCATGTCAGGATCTTATGTCTCCTCCACACATCCCAAGTTTTCAGAATCATTTCTGACTTTGCAGACGTCCATTCCACTGTTCTACGAGTGCAACTCTGTTTGAGCAGATACCCTGATTTTGTGGGTATCTGTGGCTAGGAAAATGTGGCTATCATAGACCATATAGACCAGGGGAGAGATCTCACCAAAGACTTGGCGGTTGAGGACCAAGTATCACATGCTATAAATAGGTATGACTTCCCCTTTCCCTCGGCCATGAGTCAGATTTTTTTTTTCTTTGCAGTGGCAGGTGACAGAAACTAACTCAATCTGGCCCCGGGGCGAAAGGGAATTTACCACCAGCCTTGGGACTGAAGAGTCCAGAGGATTCACGGCTGGCTGCCTGCAGATTCTCAAGCAATGTGCCAGCTCGCCCGACTCTCTCCCCACCTCCTTCCCCTTTCCTCTGTGTAGGTCTTGTCCTCAAACTGAGTCCCCTTTGGGTGTCCCCAACAGCCCTGGGCTCACAGCCTGCCCGCTCGGCATGCGTACAGAAAGGAAGTGACTTTCTAAATGAGTTCAGCAAAAGCTCTGAAAGGTCCCTCCTGCTAGACCTGAGTCCCTCCCACCCCCAGCAGCCCAGGGCCCCCTGAACCACGGGGACTAGAAGACCTCCCTGCAAAAGGCACCGAGATGTTGTTGATGTCAAAACAGGGACAGTTTGGAGACTGGGCAGGGAAATGCAATAAATGCTGTTATAGCCTTTCGCTGAAGTCAGGATCCTGCTTCCCATTCTTTCTTTATGCCCAGTTTTCTAGAATAAATTTCCACCCCCCACCCTTGCCATCCACCTACAAGAGATCTGCCCCTTGCCCACCAGTGATTTCACTGGACCGCCCTGTAATCTTTCTGTCCGTGCCACGTGGACCTCAGTGAGGTCTGCTTCTCTCTCCTCCTCGTGACTCCACTTGACTTTTTATTTTTTTTATTTTTTATTTTGTTGAGACAGACTCTCATCACTCTGTCGCCCGGGCTAGAGTGAGTGCCGTGGCGTCAGCCTCGCTCACAGCAACCTCAAACTCCAGGGCTCAAGTGATCCTCCTGCCTCAGCCTCCCGAGTAGCTGGGACTACAGGCATGCGCCACCATGCCCAGCTAATTTTTTTCTATGTATTTTTAGTTGGCCAATTAATTTCTTTCTATTTTTTAGTAGAGACGCGGTCTCACTCTTGCTCAGGCTGGTTTCGAACTCTTGACCTTGAGCGATCCTCCTGCCTTGGCCTCCCAGAGTGCTGGGATTACAGGCGTGAGCCACCATGCCCGGCCTACATGCCTTTTATTTATATAACTGCAGAAGGAAGGAAGATGCCTGCAGGCAGGAAGAGCTGCTTCCAGAACTTCCCGGAAAGCATAGGCACGATTTTGCTACCATACATCTCTGGCAAACTTGCAGAATGGGCCCATGGTTCGTCTCCCCTGGAGTAAGCGCTCCCGGATGATGTGCCTAGATCCAATCTGCAAATTGCATTTAGAGAGCTAATTGGACCCGAATTTGCAAATGCGAATTGCTACCCTTGCATGGACCCATTTGCTTTATTAAACAAGAAGTGATGCTGTGTGTGTTGGCTACTGAGCACATCAAGGCTCCCAGCTACCCAGTTGGCGACAGAGCCCCAAGCTTGCCCGGTGCTTAACGTATAGCGGGATGTCACACGCTTTAGACAGGGCCTCGGAGAGCAAACTGGGCATGTTTTTGTAAAATACACATTTCTGTCCGGCACCGTACATCAGATCCTCCTATGGGGTGGATTCAAAAGAGCTGATGTTTATGGACTCCTTGCTAAGTATCAACCACCAGGCAGAATCCACTCGCTCCTCCAAATACCCTATAGGGAAAGTACTATTATTGTTCTCATTTTATTTATTTATTTATTTATTTTTTCCAGCATATTTTGGGAGTACAAACGTTAAGGTTACGTATATTTCCCTTGCCCCTCCTCTCCCCTCTTGAGTCAGATCTTCAAGCATGTCCATCCCCCAGTTGGTTGTTTTCATTTTACAGTTAAGGAAACTGAGGCACAGTGAGGTTAACTGACCTAGCGGAACCATGGAGGGGGATTTAGGCCATTAGACCCCAAGCTCTAACATCCTATGTAGGCCTGATATGATGATCAGTTAGGCTACTCAGAGATTACCCATGACTATCTACTGTGGTTTAATGTAATTTTTCATTAAATACCGTGTTTCCCCGAAAATAAGACCTACCTGTAAAATCAGCCCTGGCAGGATGTCTAAGTATGTGCCCAATAGAAGCCCTACGCCCATAATAAGCCCTAGTGACGGGCGTGGCTGTGAAAATAAGCCCTAGTGCTGGGCGTGGCTATGAAAATCAGCCCTAGTGCTGGGTGTGGCTATGAAAATCAGCCCTAGTGCTGGGCGTGGCTGTGAAAATAAGCCCTAGTGGTGGGTGTGGCTATGAAAATCAGCCCTAGTGCTGGGCGTGGCTATGAAAATCAGCCCTAGTGCTGGGCGTGGCTATGAAAATCAGCCCTAGTGCTGGGCGTGGCTGTGAAAATAAGCCCTAGTGATGGGCGTGGCTATGAAAATCAGCCCTAGTGGTGGGTGTGGCTATGAAAATCAGCCCTAGTGCTGGGCGTGGCTATGAAAATCAGCCCTAGTGATGGGCGTGGCTATGAAAATCAGCCCTAGTGATGGGCGTGGCTACGCAGCGCATCTGCACAACCCATGCATGTCGTCGCGGAGCGGGAAAGAACACGAGAAGCCCTTCTCATCTGCCCCGTGACAGCTCTAGTGCTCGACAGGAGAGATCGGGGCCAGTGGTTCTAAAGGAAATAGAGTCGCAAGACATTCAGGATGGAATTCAGGGTTTGGAGAGTGATGATGATGTTCCAGAAGAAGACGACTTCACTCTATTTGAATCAATGTAGATGGTTGTACCGTACTTAAAAACAAATAACACATCCCCTGAAAATAAGCCCTAGGGTATCTTCTTGAGGTAAAACAAATATAAGGCCCCGTCTTACTTTCGGGGAAACACGGTAGTTATTGCACGTCTTCATGCTAGATAGCAGATGTGTGCAGTGCCCTAAAAAGTTTTGAGAAACAACTCCCAGAGAGCACCCGAGATAGAAAGCAGTAATAACTAAAACCCACGGGGTACTTACTAAAGGTCATGCTTATGTTGAGCACTTTATAAGTTTTCATTCTCTTGTTTATTTAATCCTCATAGACCTTCCTGATTTAGATACTATCCTTATTTTGGAATGATGAAAGCAAGGCTCATAGAGGAGAAGAAAGTTGCTGGAAAACACCCATTGAGTAAGTGGCAAAGCTGGGAGTTGAACACAAGTGCTTTGGCCCCATAGCCTGGCTTTTGACCCCCCTGCCATACGAGGTCACGATAAACCAAGCCATGCCGATCCTAGCGACAGAGCCAGATTCCACCAGCCACTGGGAAGAACCAACGATGTCCTGTTAGAGCCCAGTCAATTTTCTACTTAGTATTCCTCAGTTGTCATACAATACTATTTTCCCCTTTTTTTTAAAATAAAGGCATCATCTATCAAAACTTTAAGTGGTAGATATTTCATTTTTAAACTCAGTTGCAAAAGGAAAAAAAATTCTGAAGAGTGAGATTTTTGTCACCAAGGAAAATGACAGATTGCTACATGAGCCATTCATTCAACAAATTTCCCAGAAGGCTGCTCAGGGCTTCAGGTACTGAGCTCAGGGCTAAGCACTGATAAATGCACAGTAAGACACAGGTTGTAGCCCACTAATGCATTCAATAATGCAGATAGTTATAGAAATAAGTATGGGGTCAATACGTTGAGTTTTAAAGTAGAGGGAAGGCCAAGGTGCTTTAGGGGTGCCTGATCTGAGCTACCCATGACGGCCAAGGAACTGGGCCATCTGTAGCAAGTCATGGAAGGCCTGTTCTCTAGTGAAACGGATCGGATTGCCTGCTTAATTTAAGAATAACTTTGGTTGCAATTTTTTTTAAAAAAAAATGTAGCCTAACAGAGATTTAAACAAATAGTGGTTTAACTAAGGGGTCAATGACATGGGCTCAGTTGCTCCACAGTGTCACCAGGTTCCTTCTGTCTGTCCACCATGTAGCTGTTGGCATTTCATAGTCTCATGTTTTACCTCATTTCACAAAGTGGCTGCCATAGCTCCAAACACCATCAAGGTAGGAAGTGGGCAATGGAGCGGACGTGAAAAAGATCTTTTTCCTGTGGTGGCTGCTCTCTTTTTAGTAACAAAGAAGAAAAGCAAGCTTTTCCCAGAAGTCTCCCGGAAGGCTTCCCTTTCCACCTCATTGGCCAGAATTGAGTCACATGAAGAGACTGACTTCCAAAAGAGGATGGGAAAGATCGAGTGTCCAGCTTTTTTCCTGGTCTCTTTTGGGCAGGGTGGGCAGGGGAAATAGACAAGGTTGGGTTGTCTATCCGGTAGTTTTTGCTACAGTGTGAAAGAGTTTGATATATCTGGAGCATCATTAGCCATATAACTAAGAGTTCCGAGACCAGCTATCTGTGACCACAGAGTCATTTAATCGGTCAGTTTGGTGGCATTGATCATGTAGAAGTGGAAATTCCTGCCTTGTTGTTCGTGAGTCTTGAAAACTCTCCCCGGGGAAATTAACAGACTGAATACTGGGGGCTTAACGATTCCCACTAGAGTTGTAAAAACACAGAACCTTTCCTCATAACCCAGGACTGGACAACACGCTTGAAAATTAGCTTCCAGAACTTTCCTTGAGACCGGGCAGGGATTTAGGCGGAATTCTATGAGGCTTCTGTGTGGATTCTAGCTTAGGCGCTATGCACAGCTAAGTCATTTGGACAGCTCAGTGCAAACTAAAAACGCAAGACTCCTTGCTCAAAAATTAAGAATTTCAAGATGACAAGAGCGAAGCAGTCCATCAAGCAGGGGACCCCCGTGCAAAAGCCACGGAGCTGTCCCCGGCAGAGGGTGACCAGTGGCTCGTTGCGGAGGCCTGAACTTGGAGGAGCGATGAACCCACCCGCTTGTGGTGGGCGAGAGTTTGGGTTTTCGAGGCGGCCCTGCTCTGTGTTCTAATCCCAACCCTGCCGCTGAATTGCTCCGTGATTTTAGAAACTCGTGGAGCCTTTTGAAAGATTCCATCTCCCGTCCTGTAAAAAGGATGGCGGTAGTGTCTCTGCCATGTATTATTGAGAAGAATAAATTAAATGGTAGATGCTCCTTTGTTCTTTATCATAGCACATTCCTGGTAGACACTGCATTTGACCTATGAATTTTGCTGATCCCAAAACTCAGTCTGACCACATAAGAGGATGTTAGATTCCAGAGGGACACATATCCTTGCACATTCAACTCACGGGAGGAGGATTTATGAATCGGAATGTTCGTTTGTTCACATGCAAAGAACTGGCTGGACTTGGCATGACATCTAACGTCAGCTCTCATTCGGAATCCACTTGGGACACATTGCTTGGGTTAATAGGTTGCTTTCTGAACACAGAATCATTATTTTCCTCTGATGCACGTGTCCCGAGGTTTCCAAGGCTAAATAAGTTAAAATCCTTGGGCATTAGCCAAGGTTTCCCTTTTCTTTTTGCAGGACTTGTCAGAACCTTTAGCTGACTGACTTTAATTAGCATTTAACATAAGCGAGGTAGTATTTTGTACGTGGGCACGTATGTGTGTCAAGTACTGTTAGCCTACCACCCGGTAGGCGAAGTTAGACAGCCTTCGAAGTACCTTCAGCAAGAATCTAATCACAGAGGTAGTTACTTAGACATTTTGACTGTCACTTTTCCAATCTATACCACAGATGTTGTTAATTTGCAAGAGAGAAATTAGAAATGCTTTTTTTTTTTTTAGTGTTGAAATGAAATGTTGTGTCCAAGTATGTCGTGGGCCAGAACGATTGCATGGCCCCAGCCCCTTCCGTGAACAAGGTGTTTGCATCAGAAAAGCCAGCCACCGAACCTCTCGACACTCAAGGTCCTGCACCCCACTTCATGGAGGGCGCTGTCACATGACACACTCAACAGTCAGCTGGTCCGGCCAAAGGACAGCCATGGTCTCAGCCTGTCTTAGGCAGAGTGAACATTTTTTTTTCTTATTTATTTATATATTTATTTTTTCAGCATATTATGGGGGTGCCAATGTTAAGGTTACGTATATTGCCCTTGCCCCCCTCCCACCTCGAGTCAGAGCTTCAAGAGTGCCCATCCCCCAGACGGTGCACATCACACTCGTTGTGTTTGTATACACCCATCCCTTCCTCCCCCCCCCCCACCTGCCCGACATCCGATAGATGTTATTCCTATGTGTCCACTTAGGTGTTGATCCGTTAATACCAGTTTGCTGGTGAGTCCACGTGGTGCTTGTTTTTTCATTCTTGGGATACTTCACTTAGTAGAATGGGTTCCAGTTCTAGCCAGGAAAATACAAGAGGTGCCAGATCACCGTTGTTTCTTAGAGCTGAATAGTACTCCATAGTATACATATACCACATTTTATTAATCCATTCATGGATTGATGGGCACTTGGGTTGTTTCCACAGCTTTGCAATTGTGAACTGTGCTGCTATAAACATTTGAGTGCAGGTGTCTTTTTCATAGAGTGACTTTTGTTCTTTTGGGTAGATGCCCAGTAGTGGGATTGCTGGATCAAATGGTAGATCTACTTATATCTCTTTAAGGTATCTCCATATTGCTTTCCACAGAGGCTGAACCAGTTTGCAGTCCCACCAGCAGTGTAGGGGTGTTCCTATCTCTCCACATCCACACCAGCGTTTATTATTTGGGGACTTGTTGATAAAGGCCATTCTCACTAGAGTTAAGTGATATCTCATTGTGGTTTTGATTTACATTTCCCTGATGATTAGAGATGTTGAGCATTTTCTCACATGTTTGTTGGCCATCAGAGTGAACATTTTATATAAGGGGTTTATGCAAGACACTAAAGACAGAGTTGGACTTCTCTGAGCTTGCAAGAACAATAAGCATTCCTGGGAGTTTTTTTGTGCTTATTTGCTATTAAATGTATATGCTTGGGGTAGAATTTTGCTCTTAAGACTTTCTTGCATTGTGACTTCTTATCTGGCCACAGGATTGAGAGGTGGAAGGTACTGAAATGCTGAATGCTGAAAACATTTATGAAAACGACCCAACCGTTTTGCACGGCCAAATGGGCTTAGGGCATTCACCGCAAAAGGCTTGCTTCACGATACAGCCCGGGGCACTAGGGTTCCGAGACACACACTTTGGGAAAGTGCGGAGTGACCCACAACACAAGCAGGGAGTTACTTTCTTAGGACATAGTTTCCCCAGTCTAAAGTAGACTTTAGACAGTTTGGTCTCATTCTTTTCTGTTTTGAGTTTTTTTTTTTTTTTCTTTTCCTTTCTGATCTGTGATGCAATTTAGAAAAGTCGTAGAGAGGCATCAAAATGCAATCTCTTTTGATTTTTGCGTATAATGAACTGCTTCTGCTGAAAAGAGCAAAATGGAAGAAGTGCGGGAAAACCAGAGGTCGAGTCACCCCACCTGTGCTCCGATAATATACCTGGGTGACAAATGAAGCACTGAGTCATCAGCTGGGAGTCTCCATGTGTTTAAATGCCTCCTATTTATAGAGCAATTTTTAGATAACTGCCTAAAAAAAATTCCCTTCTAGAGGCATGATGCTGTAAGACTCATCATCCTAAGATAGAAAGTCCTTTGTAGTGAAAAAATTCACTGCTTCTCTGTGGCAGCTACAGCAATGCATACCTAGTAATCGAATTTTGGAGAGCCGCGTGGAGTAAACACAGTAGTTGACTTCTGCCCAAATCTTTTTGAAAAGAGGAAGTGGAGCCTTTCTGCTCGTTGACATACAAAGCGCATTGCTTTGTAAATGGATTCCACAGCGAAAGCAAAATCCAAACAAAGAAACGTCTTTTTGTCCTAACCTACGTACAATGTGAATGAGATCCCAAGTATGCGAACGGTGGGAGGAAAGAAATGGGCTTTCTCTGCCCCAGTGATGGGGTTTGGGTTGCCAATAGGAGTGGTCATGGCCCACCATTTGGAGGATTACTGTGCACCACTTTTTTTCCCCTTCTTTTTTTAATGTTTGAGTCTCAGTCTGATTTTTATTCACTGTTTCTTTGATTCTATTTCTGTAAAAAGTAAGCGTGGCTATTGGGTAGAATATAAGTTCCCTCCATGGAGGCCAGTTGTCTCTTTGAAGATGTTGGTAAGACTGTCTTACGTCCGCCATGAGCTTGGCTTTGAAAGCAAGCGTGACCCCATCCGTTTATCCTACTGATTCAAGCGTGTGTGGAATTTGTGCCACGTTGCAGGGATTTCTGCAAAGGGACCCTCGGGAGCCCCAGTTTGGAATGAGTTTGGTTTGGCCACGCATTAGCTGTGGATGACTGGTGAACTTCCCCGAGTCTTAGTTTCTCAAAACGCGGAGAGAACCACGTTTTGAGGGAGGTATAATTAGGAAGAATGATCGAGAAGCCCAGAGTCCCTTAGAGTTTAGCCTACCGTCCAGGAGCCCATAGCTGGGCTTGAAACCCATTCGCTGTGTGCTGCTCTTTGCAGGAATCTCCAGGCACCATGCAACTTTCCAGAAGCAACAATGCCTCTGCAGGGCAAATTTACCTCCACAGCTGGGGAGTAGCAATTTGGGAGAGTCCAGTGAAAATTCTGTGCTGTGTGTTTCAGACGCCAAAGAGAAGTCACCAAGAAACCCCCAGTCCAACCATCATACAGGATTCCTCAACATCAACCATAGAACTAATGCACAACCAGTCTGGCCATGAAAATTCGAGCGATTCCATACTGCCCACGGAGTAGAAGTGCCTGTTGGCATTTAAGCATGTCATGATCTGAACGTATTAAAGCCATTCAGTAAACGCCCTTGTGTGTTTTTCTGTTTGGGTAAACCATGGCAGCCAGATCCTCTCGTCCTTAGGAAGTCAATGAGGGTTCAACCGAGATAAAAAACAAAAAACAAAAAACCCAGTTTACACCCTGCATGTAAGATTCCCCCTTTTGCTGGTTGCTACGGTGAGAATCTGACCTCGGTGTTATTCCAGATTCTACTACAGTAGAATCACGTTGGTTTGTTAACAACAATAACAACAAAAACGATCTATACAGTAAATGTTTTTTAGAATAACAAATCAATATCACAATAAACGCAAACTGAGCCGGCTCGCCCCAGAACATAAGCAATAATATGGGAAAAGGTTAGTTTGGGAAATCACAACACCCCGGGCTGGGAGTCTAGCATAGAGTCCAATGCAACTTGTAGATGCAAAAATGACTGCAACTTGGGCCAATCTTCAGCATAGAGAGTTTTTATTGGTCACTTGCTAATGCTAGATACCATGTGGAGAGTAAGCGGAACATTTCGTTACTTATGACCTGCAACATGTTATGCTATTGCTCCAAATTCCAGAGTTAACCTATAGATTTCATTTCCTTTTCCAATACCAGGCAATTGGAAGCAGCTACTATGTTCAGAAGGATTCTGATACTCAGTGGAAGACGGATTTGGGTGGTGCTAGGTAGGTCCTTTTGTTATTGTTGCTGGTGGAAGAAAGAAAATTACAGATGGAGTTTCTGCTTTCGTGCTGAAAAAGCTAGAACATTAAGATAAGTTTGGACAAGCCTCGAAGAGCTAGGTGCTAAACAGAGTGATCTTGAAGCATGATTTGACCAATACTCTCTACAGGATTCTATTTATAAAGGGAAGTAAATTGAAGTCCTAATGCACCTGCTTGGAAGAAACTGTCTCCCGTTAGCTGAGGATGCCTCATGGGGAATAAGGAGTATCATTACTACTTAGAAGAAATTAGGAGGGAGGAGCAAGCATAGGAAGAAAAAGTAATCTTAATAAACGTCGTTGCTATTATTGATAACATTGCCATTTTGGGTGGTTTTGTTTTTTGACGGTGCTAATCAGCCCTTCAGTTAAACTTGACAGGTACTATTTAGAAAGAGAAAATTAATTTATCGACATTTACAGGCAAAAAATTTTTTTCTCACCAAGAGCATCTATTCTTGCCCGTGGTTTTTCCCTTGTAAGTTGACATTTGCAGTTTATGAATATCATATTAAAATATAATATCCATTCTTTTTTCCGAATGATATGAATCAGCTTAGCACAATGCATTTCCTTTTGGTATAAATAAAGGGAAACAAGAGTCGAATTTATGGACATCCATCTAAAAACGCAATTTATTTTGATTAGAGCCTAATCTTTTCTTTAGTTTTCCTTATTACACTCTAAGTCCTTTATCCCTTCAATCTCTATTCATTAATTCTTTGAGCCAAAAGTCATTAATAAGAGTCCTTGCCTTATTATAAAAAATTGCCAGGACTAGCTTTCCATGTAGGAGTTCTACCCGGACAATAGCTCCCAGAGCTATGACGTTTGCTGTGGGGCGCGGTGTCAACGCCATTACAAGTTGGCGCCTGTTTCCGGCTTTGCCTAGAGCAGCTAACAAGTTCAGCGCACGCATAATTGTCGGTTGCCCTGTGGCGCGAGAATGCAAACAAAGGGTCCTGATATGGGCTAATGCTTTGGTGGCTCGACAGTTGAGCGGCCTATCGCAGCTTAGGGGTTGTACTTCTGGGGTATATAGCAGCTTGCACGCTGCCGGGCTGGGTCTTCCGCATCATGCAAGTTTAAAGGGAACCCCATTAAAGCACGGTCAGAAGAACTCCAGTTGCCGCATCTTCCTTGCTGGCGAGGCGGGCGCGACAGTTTGCTCCAACTACTCATGTTCTCTGGCCATCGTCATACCATTATGGGCAAGTCCCGAATCAGAGTGACTCCCGAAAGTGTCCATTCTACAAACAAATCACTGCGTATTGTTTCGAAGAATAGCCTTAACAGCGGAAGGGTATCATTTGCCCAAATGCTTTCTTCCCATCATTACCTGCTTATTCTCTCCAATAACCTTACAACAGAGACCATTGTAAGCACTCTCACTTAAAGAAAGGAAGAAGAAACAGGAAAAAAAAAAAAAGGTCAGAGGTCACACACCGCCAATGTCACGTTCCGATGGGAGCAACTGCTTTTCAATGATGTGTCCCTTTTGATGGTTAGCAACGACACCCTGGGACGGCTGATCAGATCAATAATGGTCCGTAGACTAGTGAGGAATCTGAGGTTGAGTTGACAATTCTGGAAAAACATCCTTTCCTTCTCATTTCGGTCAAACCAGTCAGCCACAGGCCGCCTGCCTACACGGTGACAAAATTGGCAGACCTTTTGGCGTCTTGTGTTCCAATTGTCCTAACGGAGGAAAATCACCGACTCTTCTAGTTTAAAAGAAACACAATCCGGAGGTTCCCAACCTTATCTCGGCTCATGACTCCTCTGGAAAATCCAACACGAGCTAAGAATGGCATCTCTCTCCCCCAAAATACACATAGAAATCTCCCTGCAGGTAAAGCTAATTCGTGAAACTCATCCATGCCTTTTCATGCAAGGAAATAGACAGATCCAAGAAGGTATAGCTACATGCCCAGTTCACGTGACTTCCAACCGGGCCTCTTCCAATGATCTACGGCTGCCTCTGGAGACATCTAAGGTAACCTCTGGTCTCCCTCATCTGTTCCAGGAAACAGTAGACTGGTTCTAGGTAGTTCAGCATCATTTGTGCATTTAACGATGTGTGGGGAGTTAGTCTATGTCCCAGGCCCTGGGCTAGTTCATCCTTAATTTCCACAGCTCTGGTCCCACAGACCAAAGGAGAATCAAAATGGCAGCCTTACCTGTTGGTTTTACCTATTGGTGAAGTTCCAGAGAATATTGGTTTTTTTTTTTTTGTTGTTGTTGTTGTTGTTCCTTTTTTGTGGGACAAACAGACTTCTAAAACAGTTCTAACTTGACACAGAGCCATCAATGTGCTTCCAGTGCTTGTAAGATCAAACCCAATTCCTTGCCTGGTGTTGGAAGCCCATTCATACATATACAACTTGGTGCCTGGTCTCACCTTTCCGGACTCCTGTATCCAAACCACTTCGCTCATGATAAGCCATTCTACTCTGCACCAAATCACTTTAAAAAAAAAAAAATCACTACTATTGTTGACTCAAGTGATTCCCACCCAGAAATTATTATAGTTCTAGCCATCCATCAAAGCCTAAGTCTTATCACCCTTTCTGTCTGGATTGTATCCTGATTACCTAACTTACCTGCCATCCACCTCCATTTTCCTCTTAATTCCTGGAATTCCCAGGAAGGTCTGTGTCCACTTGGGGGTTGACGGTTGATGGCCCTGTTTGATCTCTTCATGTATGTATGACGTAGCCCCACTAAACATGTCTACGGCTCATTATGTATCCTCCTCCCTTGATGGATTAATTCAAATGAAGACCAATAAAAATGGCCTCTCTTCAAAGGAGTCCCAAATTATTTCTATTTTTAGTGATTGACCATTAATAGGAGACTCAGCGTGTCCACATGTTGAAATCCTAGATCCCTTGGCCAAGAATGCTCCTCTCGTTTTTTATTTTCTTCCAGAGTCTAGAAAACCCTGGAAGGCTGCCTTATGGGGTGGTGGAATGAAAACTGAAACCACACCAACCAGGCATGGGCTCTGTCTACAATCGAACATTCCATAAGCCCAACACGGGCGTCCTCCACTCCACTGCCCGGGGCCCCCCAAACGCCTCCTGGTTATTATTAAGTACTTCAAAGTTTTCCAAACACCCTTTTAGGAATGACAGCCCCCAATGCAAAATGCTGTCCTATCAGACGTAAACCATCAACACAGCAGGGAGGGAGGGGCATGGAAATTGCTCATCAGCACTTGGACTCATCAGAAAGTCCAGTCCCTTGGTGAGGATTTCCATCTTCTCATTTGTCATTCCAGCCACTGAATTCTCAAGTGGCCAATTTGCTCTCTGTCGGTAATCAGCTAGTCGAATTTACTCTCATGCCTCTCTCTGGGGCTGTCAGCCTGTTTGGAGCAATTCATCACCCATTTGGGCCTAATCCTTCTGCCGGTGGGAAGTGGGGCAGGGGAGCCATTATCCTGGAAAAGATAAAGTGGAAAAGGCTATGTCACCGTTTATATTTGGTCCTTACACAACGATTTCCCCAAAGAGGTAAGGCAAACAAAGACCCGACTGGGATGAGAGTGAAACAATGAGAGCTTCAGGGGTAAAGCCCATTAGGCAATGGAAATTATCTCCGGCTGTGAAGTCTGTTACTCCGGAGTCACTTGTTCTTAGATTGTGTCTACAACCCCCAAAGGATCATCATGCTACATTCATTACTGAGGTTTGCAGGAGGCTGGTGCTATGAAAATTCTAAACGCAGAAAGGACAGTTTTAAATATGCAGAATGCATTGGTGGTTACATTCTCCCCCCCGGCTAGGAGAAGGTGGCCTTTGAAGGTTGTTTTGTCTGAGACAGGAAAGCTAGAACCTTCTTCCACTCATCCCTGCCAACAAGTCTTCTCGATGACAGCATCCCGCCTTGGTTTGCCTTTTGTCCTCTCTTCCTCCCTCCAGCAGTCACTGTCTCTCTCTGTCTCCAGCGAAATCATTTCCAAACGTGTTTGCAGGGTTTCCATCGTTCTGAGTTCACCCCGAGTGGCATGGAAAATTTGACCCTGCCACTCTTTGCAAACGCATCTCTGGCGTCGGTACATTTCCTAATTAGGGGGTGTCTGAATTGATCTCTCAGATTTCCCTCGGTCCTTCTGAAGAGCCTAATTTCAAACCCTCAAGGCTGACTCGTGCTCACCGGAGCCAAAGGTTCACGTTTCCGAAGGCCACGTTCAGCCTTAAGAGAAAGATGTTAGTGTGACACAAATTGGCACTTTCTTGGCACGTTCTCTGCTCGCAGCAAACTCTTTATTCCTTGGAAGGAAGCTAGAATTGCCCTTCTAGCTATTTCCTCGGAGACGCTGGGAGTCTGGGCAGCAACATGATCTGAATCTTGAAATGTTTATCTTCCTCCACCCTTTTTTCATGTCTTGAACCCTTTCTTGTGTTCTTTATGCTTCGTATAAACATGCACATATGCAACTTCGCTTTTAGGTGGGTCTAGCTATGAGAAGAATCGAAAGAGACAGAGAAAGCACGGTTACACATCCGTATCGAGTGTTCTTGCTTTTCATCTGCTAATTCCCTCCACACTCGGCTGTTTCCACAATCAGTGATATCACCCAATAGCTGTCTCGGACTGGAAACTAGAGGGCTCGTAGAATTGCAGTCTTTTGTCTTAATCTACTCAAATCTGTCTCCTGTCCAAGATGACCCAAACAATAAAAGAATAGTTGCCTTGCTTCAGTGAGAAATTATTCCTGTAACTTTAAATACATGGTTTTACAACGGATCCCTCCCCTGTTTTGTTGTAATTGCCTCTAATTCTAAATTTGCTTTCAGGAATGGTTAACTGTGATTATATGGATGTGAGCTTTTATGTTTGGTATTTGGGAAAACAGGAGGAAAAAAAATGGGTGGAAGAAGTGATGTTTCCCTTTCCCAGTGCCCGCAGATTGACCTGCCTGATGTGTGTGTATTTGCTGATTAGCATTCGGATTAGCTGAACCCAGCGAGCAGAGATGTCTGTGCCTCATTCTACCTATTTAATCCGGCTACTTCCCAACGTCCCTTGGTCCCTGTCTTATAAAAACAGCAGTTTCTTCCAGAGTCCCCCAAAACTGCTTCGTCATTACAATCTTTTTTTTTTTTTTCAGATACATGGCATGCAGCTAGTCATTACAATCTTGATTTCTGAGATTCTTACTTTTCTGCCTCTCCTTCCATCCTTGTATCTTAGGTTTGCATCCTGATTACAATACATCTTTCTCTCTCAATCCTTTCCCTACTTTGGGCATTGTATCATTCCCAAAGAGTGAGAAAATCTCCAGGGAGCAGGTGCTCCTAAAATCCACAGACCACCCCGTTCCATGATGGATACACGTAGTCATTGCTTATAGATCCTCAAAGTTTCACACTCTAAACCGATTTAAACAGTACTCAGAGCAAGAATTTCTAAACTTTCTTAGCCACTCGACAGAATAACGTCTGTTGAAACCAATAACCAAAAATTGGGGCTTGTATTGTGTTTGTCTCCCTTTTCCATTTGTGATCGTTTTTGTTGGATTTTTAAAAAACATATAGGCCCATGAAAGGTTAGAAATAAATAATCAAAATGAAACAAGATTGGCCCGCCACCTCCAATCATTCAAGAAGAATCCATCTACTCACGCCTGTAATCCTAGCCCTCTGGGAGGCCGAGGCGGGAGGATTGCTCAAGGTCAGGAGTTCGAGACCAGCCTGAACAAGAGCAAGACCCCCATCTCTACTAAAAATAGAAAGAAATTAATTGGCCAACTAAAAGTATATAGAGTTCTTGAAAGTGATGTCTGAAGAAGAAAAAAAAAAGTATATAGAAAAAATTAGCCGGGCATGGTGGTGCATGCCTGTAGTCCCAGCTACTTGGGAGGCTGAGGCAGGAGGATCGCTTGAGCCCAGGAGTCGGAGGTTGCTGTGAGCGAGGCTGACGCCACGGCACTCACTCTAGCCTGGGCAACAGCGAGACTGTCTCAAAAATAAAAAATAAATAAATAAATAAGAAGAACCGATCTAGATTGTTGGCCCCCAACCTTTTTGGCACCTGGGACCGGTTTCACGGGAGACAACTTTTCCACAGTCTGGGGCTTGGGGACCTCGGATCTAGGTGACTAAGATCCCTATCGGATTCTGTGCTTGGCAATTTTCAGCTGCTGATTTGGGGCCTTCCTGGGAGAACCAGCCCTTCTCATAAAGCCCAGCTCTCAAAGTAACCAGGATGACCCCTCCCTACAGTGAATTAACCCACTGGAGGCTGCCTCACTCCCCCGAGAGTCTGCTTTCTTTGGGCTTAAGTAGAGTTAACACAATTCGGGGGCTGGAATTACATTCCCGGGGGGTCCTCGCTTTGCAAACATCCATGAGGCTTGGGTATAACTCGGCAAAGTTTCCCCGGCTGAAGGCCAGCCTCGGGTGTGACGATGACATCATGGTCTACACTACAGAAACCCCCTTCCTGGTTCCTCTATAGAGGCTAACACACGCTGGGCCGGACGTCACCTCCTCGTGTGCTAGGATTGTCTGCAGACTGAGACAGAGGAAGCGCCTGTTCAAACAGCAGTTGTCAGTCTTGCTCCCGGTGGCTGTCCCCTTGCTACTGGGGAGGCAGCTCTGCCTCCAAATTGCTGACTGTGGCCTCAGTTTTGGGTTTTGCGTTGGCACCACAGGAGGACGCTTGGCAGAAGCAGCAGGGAGCATACTCCCACAAGGACTTTGGAAAAGCATGAGCTACGTGCATTTTCCTGGAAGACGGAATATCCTTTGTCCGCTGGTTGCGTCTCTAATTTATAACAAATGCCCAGAAACTAGGACACATGTGACTTTGGAAGCCTGGCACAAATTCTAACAGCCAATGACCCAAGGCTCATTCTCTATTTTTTTCCCCCCATTGTTTCAGAGATGGATTGTTGGAATGGAAGAGGTATTACGCAGAGCCATAAAGCTAGAAGGGCCCTTACAAATCAACCAGAAAATCCCTCCCCCATTTTCTAGGTGGCAAAGCTGAAGCCCAGGGAAGGCAAGTGACTTGCCAAGCATGAGTTTCAAAACGTAGAAACCGGGTTCCAGGGCTCTTTGTGTCTGTTTTGTTTTGGTTTTGGTCAACTTCTGATGGAAGCAGACGACGGCTACAAAAAAGGTCACAAGTCGTACGTAACGGCAGAGCTCAACAAGTTTTCATGAACTAAGCACTTCTGTGCAATCAGAACCCAGATGGAGAAGCCGAACAACTCTAGCACCCCCCAAAAGCCTCGGGAATACACCCAGGCTGCCACTCCCACCCAAGGACAAGCACTGCCCCACTGTCCAGCGTCATGTGTTATTGCCGTCTATTATTAGGCTCAATCAAAAAGGAATTATGGAGTATGTTACCCTTGAGCCGGGCTTCCTTCCCTGAACACTGTGTTTATGCAGACTCATGCAACGTAGGGTTTCAGTGCATTGATTTTCATGGCTGCATGGTATTCTTTCATGTGAGTTGAGCTCATTATCTTTTCCGGTGTTGGAGGGTATTTAGGTAGTTTTTCAGTTCGAGGCTATTATGAACAGGGCTGCTAAGGTCACTCTTGTCCGTGGAATGACATGGATTGGGCTTACCCAAATTTCGTCTCTAATGATGCTCCCAAAAAATGTTAACACAAGGAATGGATGCAATGGCGTGCATGTCTCTGAGCTACATGAGACTGTCACTGAACCCCCGTCTGTACCAACCATCCAAAGGGGCCATCGGAAATCACAATAGCCACCCAGCAGTCACCAACACAACATGTGTGGTTGGGAATATTTGCAAGTCCTCTTGAAATCCGAGATAAATAGTCACTTCACATTTCGTTGATCTAAAAATGTGAGTGGGTTTTCATTAGCTATTATTTTTACTTATTTTTTAAAAATTTTTTTGCTTTGAGACAGAGTTTCACTCTGTCGCCCAGGCTAGAGTGCCGTGGCGTCAGCCTCGCTCACAGCAACCTCAAACTCTTGGACTCAAGCGATCCTTATGCCTCAGCCTCCCCCCGAGTAGCTGGGACTACAGGCATGCGCCACCATGCCCGCCTAGTTTTTTCTATATATATTTAGTTGGCCAATTAATTTCTTTCTATTTTTAGTAGAGACAGAGTCTTGCTCTTGCTCAGGCTGGTCTCGAACTCCTGACCTTGAGCGATCCTCCCGCCTCGGCCTCCCAGAGTGCTAGGATGACAGGCGTGAGCCACCACACCTGGCCTTATTTTTACTTATTTTTAATTGCACGAGTAATACAGAAACACATTCTTGTTCCATGCACATGCCCAATGATAACGATAATGCTAGAATGTTGGTGTCTCGGTCCCAAAGATTTTTGTTTGTTTTCTTCATCACAAAGCAGCGTCAGTGCCTAGCAGAGAAGGTGCTAAACAGTGTTCATTGAATGAATGAATGACGGATAGCACTTACTCAGAAGTAGTCTAATCTCTGTGTGTACCTTTCCACTCCTTTTTTTTTTTTAATACATCCATGTGTGCATGATTATACAATTGGATGATGCCAGGCCGTGTGAGCCTTTGAAATTAACAGTACGCCTTAAGCATTTTTTTTATAGCCAGTACATAGAGATTTACCTTTTTATGAGCTGTATAATGTTCCATGGTATGGATGTATCATAATACATTTCTGCTATCTCCAATTTTTGGGTGCAATTTTTTAAGTGCTGCTGCAAAAAAAAATATTGTCATGAATGTGTTTCCTCGTGGTAGATACCAAGAACTAGCATTTCTGGCTCACGGGTGGTGTACGTTTTTAATACTTCCAAAGCGATCATTCCAATCCCCACTTTCAACAGTGGCAGTTCATGACAGTACCTGCTTGCCCTCATCTTTGCTGTGATCAATATTACCAAACTCAGAGAATGTTGCCAAACTATGCGGAACATGTCATTTAATTTTCATTCCCTTTTGTGCTACTGTTTTTTTTTTGTTTTTTTTTTTGGCATCTCTTCATATACTTGTTGATAAGATTTGAGTTTGATCCAAGTTGTTACAAAGACTGAACGCATAGGAGCAGGTGAGGCCTGCCAACCCCCTATCAGGGCATGTTGCTCTTCATCCTGATCTTCAAGGAAGTAGGAATCCTCAAGAGTCCTTAGATGTATCAATATTTCAAATGCTAAGAGTGTATTGGAGTGACTTAAACATTTCTTCCAAACCCCGGGGATACAATTATTTATCCTAGTCCTTTCTCTTTGTCGAGCCACTAGAAGAAAAGAAAAACCAAGTTACACTGTGTGGCTTAACTATCTTTGCCACTATGCTGGAGTCTGAGTTCTGGAAAGTTCTGCGTGGAGCATGAAACTCCAACTAAACCTGCAGCAAGCATCGGGACTATATTCCTGCATGCTGGATTCATTCATTACCCAGCCAACAAATAAGGGGTTCTGCATGAAGTTTGGGACCTTCTGTTCCTTCGTTTTGTTTTCTTTGGAATAGAGTAAATAATAAAATT